CATCTGAATGGGACCCTGCCTGTGCTATATTAAAGTAACTCTAACTTCTCCGTTCTGACTGACTGACTGTATCTGTTTTATCACAGGAGAGATCTGTGTTTTTCTGTTACATGTTTAGATATGGAGGTAGTGGGATATCCTGTCAAACAACCATTTTAGCCATGAAAGCCTCATATCAACATGCTTCCTGTTATAACACTTCAAAATAGATTGAATCAAGGTCAATCAGACTCAATCAAATCTAGCTGCTTTTCTTTCGCTCTTTTGTGTTTCAGAGCACTTTCGATGTGTCTTTTTGATCTTTTGATTATTGTCACTACACTCTAAAATATCTGTTTGCTTTTTGTTCAAACAACTTATTTAAAATGAGCTGAAACACTACAATTATTGAGTGCTTTTTGGGACAACTTGAATTTTTTGTTCAATCCACTTTTTGAATTTGAAAAAACTAAAGTTAACTTAATTCCTTGATGTTGTGCCAGCATTTTTACAGTGTATCATTATCATTACAGTGTAATCATTAATTAATTAATTTATTTATTTGTTTATTTATTTATTTATTTATTATATTTATTTTCTGATTAGCAATTGCCACATTTCCAAAACATTTTAAGGTTCGTTCTATTTAACCAAGCAAGGCAAATAATAGTTTAATTAATTGTATTGTGTGATCTGAAACAGACTACAACTTGCACTATAATTATGCAACCATAATATACCGTTTCTTTTTTGCATTTGTTAATTTGATGTATTTCTATCTGAATCCATTCAATACAAAATCAATTACAATATTAATAATGTTACAAGCTGTGCTCAAAAGAAATAAGATGATTCTTTAAAAGGGAAGTTAATATAACTATATTATTATTATTATTATTATTATTATTAATATTATTATTATTATTATTATTATTATTATTATTATTATTATTATTGTACATATATATGCACACACAGTTGAAGTCAAAATTATTAGCCCCCCTTTGAATTGTATTTGTTCTATTTTGGCTAGAATAAAAGCAGTTTTTACATTTTTAAAAACCATTTTAATGTCAAAATTATTAGCTCCTTTAAGCTATATTTTTTTCGATATTTTTTCACATTTTTTTTAGTCTACAGAACAAACCATCATTGTAATAACTTGCCTAATTACCCTAACCTAGTTAACCTAATTAACCTAGTTAAACCTTTAAATTTAAGCTGAATAGAAGTGTCTTAAAAAATATCTAATAAATATAGGGCAAATAATTCAGGGGGGCTAATAATTCTGACTTCAACTTATATATATATATATAACTTATCACTAAATATTTTCATTTCACTTATTTTACAGTGCATAATATACAAAATATGTTTAGAATTAAAATACTAAAAATTATATTCTGTATATTATGCAAAAACAAGACACACATTTATACATACACAATATATACAGTGCTCAGCATATTTGGGTACACCCCATTTTGAAAATTCATATTTTTATCCATTTCTCAGTGAATATAGGCATGTATTTTGGTACATTTAAACAAAACAGATTTGTTAAATAGATATATTTATTAGAATGATATTTTAGTCACCAAAAATATTTAGAAATAGAAAGATAATACAATTAAATTCAAGCGAAATAATACAAAAAAAAAGACTATCCACAAAAATGCTTTTTGCTTCTCTTGATTTTTCCTCTTTTTAAAATTTTTATTTAATATTTTTCTATAACATGTATATGTATATATATATATATATATATATATATATATATATATATATATATATATATATATATATATATGTGTGTGTGTGTGTGTGTGTGTGTATATATATATATATATATATATATATATATATATATATATATATATATATATATATATGTATAATTTTGTATATAATATAATTTTTTTAACATATAAAAAAATATATATATAGCATACTTTTTTTTTTTTTACTTTTATTAACAATTAGAAATAGTTTAAAGTGATATATTGTCTGGGTTGGTATTGTATATTACAGTACAAAAACCTTGTAATAAGCTGTCAGTACATTTTCTGTTATTTAACAAATTTATTTCTCTATATTTTATTTATTATCCATCAAATTATTTCAATCTACTAATAGTAGTTGTTAAACTGTAGAGATAAAGGTCCCATAATGCAACTCACAACTGTAAACAATCAGAAACACTTGTGATGGAAACTGATAATTAACATATTTTTTACAGAGTATAGCCTTAATACTGTCTACAGACAGTGTATTTCCCAGTACTGGGTTGTGGCTGAATGGGCATCTGCTTTGTAAAACAAATGCAAGAGTAGTAGGTGGTTCATTCCGCTGTGGCAACCCCTGATAAATATGAAACTAAGCTGAAGGAAAATGAATATAATAAATATAAATGTTATATAGTTATATAGTTATATATATATATATATATATATATATATATATATATATATATATATATATATATATATATATATATATATATATATATATATATATAAACTTTATTTATATTGTTAAAATTTTTGAATAATTCTAATCTATTTTAACATGTATATTGATCATAAAGTGTGTCTTGCCTCAGTGGGATCACTGTTTTGCTTATTGTCAGATATATAGGTCACATCTTGAGATAACAAACACAATGTATATAACATCCAAACCAAACCCATTGATCAGAGGCCGTCCTAAATTCCATGCATAGCCCCTAGAGAGAACGCAGTGTTTACTGCACAGATCCTAATCCTGGTGCTTAGTGTAAATATTTTACATAACCTCTCAATACGATTCTGTAAACATGTCACAGGATTAGGCATTATGTGAGCGATACGATTGAGCGAGGATTTTATTTAGTTGAAAACAAGCAGGGAAGGGCTGCAGAAAATTCCTGGAAATCTGTCTTCCTTGAAACATAAGAGAAAAAGATTGAAGGCGGTGACGGAGAGGGAAAGTTTTTCCTAAAATGAAATGTAGCCCACATTCACTCACCCATACATTCTTATAAGTTTCTGCTGATCACAAAAGAAGATATTTTGAAGAATGTTGCGACTGACCTACATTGTATCATCCTACTATAGAAGTCAGTTAATACTAATATAGAATGACTTCTATTGGAAAGAAAAGTGCAATGTAGGTCAGTGGCAACATTTTTCAAAGCATCTTCTTTTGTGTTCAACTCTGGAACAAGCCGAACATGAGTAGATGGTGACAGGATAATCGTCTTTTTTATGAACTATTCTTTTCGCTAAAAAGTTTAGATAGAAAGATAGAAAGTTTGCCAGAAAGAAAGACAGAGTTGATTTCTGCTGTGTGATTAAGCAGCCAGGAATGTTTAAGCCCCTGCATGTGATTTTTAGATTAGAAAAAACATTCAGGAATCTGTGCAAACCTCAAACTTTGCACGTTTAAACTCACTCAGATACTGTATGGTAGATATATAGGCAGGGAATGTGAGTGAGAGGGGGGCTGGATTCAGAGAAGTAAACAGAAACAGAGCGTTCGTGTGTATGTGTGCTTGTGTACGTGTGTTTGTTTGCATTCGTGTGTGTGTGTGTGCAGTATAGAGGTCAGCATATGTAGTCGTCTCAGACTGCGGGTTTTCTGGGACTGGTTGTTTGGATAAGTGGGGGAAAGTTCACAGCTCAAAGACTTCTTTCAGTCCCAGAATGCACTGCCGCAGCTCTTTTCTCCAGCTAAACATAGCGACTCAAACCACTTTCTTTTTACGTGCTTTATGTGCGGATTGTGTTTTTATATTGTAGACTTATGGTTTGTTTGTTTTCATGTCATTTTTTCTTGACTATCTTTTTTTTTACATGGAAACATTGATAAACAACGGCTTGAGCTTTTCAGTCAGAATTGACTTGCATATTTTACAAATACTGTACAAATGGAATATCACATTGAATTATACAGTATGATGAAGTAGAAAAACTGCATTTCCTTGTACAGACTTATCCTAATAACCATTTAAAACTGTATAATAAAAGCTTTACTGCCCGTTTTGTTTTGTGTTTTGTTTTTCTTTTATTCTATAACTTTTTTTTTATATATATATATCCAAGAGATAGATTTTTTTTAACAATAATAAAAAAACTACATGGAAAACGCCCAAACTTTCTACTTCAGCCTGACTACAACAGTCTTCAATCTAACCTAACCTGCTGGCGACCTCTTGTGGACAATAGTTGATTATTGCAGAAATGCACGTAAAACTTCTCGATGTTTGGTCTTTTTTCTTTCGAATGGGCAGTTTGCCCCTCTAAACATCTTTCAATGAACAGACCATCTTTTATATCTCTTAAAAAATATATAATTTGGATATACACTCACCCGCCACTTTATTAGGTACACCTTACTAGTATCGAGTTGGACCCCCTTAAGCATTCAGAACTGCTTTAATCCTTCGTAGCATAGATTCAACAAGGTTCAAATGTTTCAAAATTAAAAGTTGTTGGACAAAAGTTTAAGGTCCAATAATTTAATTAAAAAGCATAAATAAAAGAGTGGATAAATAAATGAATAAAATAAGTTAATAGATGGATAAAATAAATAGATAAAAATGAATCACAAAATGGGAACCTGGTAATTTACAGATAATTGTTTTAATTTTGTAGTTAAATGAAGATAACCATGATGTTGTACATACCATAGTTAATTCATGGTGTTTGTAGTAAAACTGTGGTTATACAAACAATCAATGTGCAAAACAACATTGCTACACTTTTTTTTATGCCATAATATGTGACAATTATTTTGTGGTGATGTGCTCATTTTCTTTCATTTACTCACATTTATTCAAATGTCAAATGGTGTGACTATAGATGATTACCTAAGAAAAGTACTCATCCTTAACAAGCATAAAAATTTAAACAGATAGATTCGATAATCTCTCCGCTTTGTCTGTGTTTTGTGTCTCATTAATGTTTTCCTCCCCATCCTCGTTCTTCTTCACTCACTCCACCCCTGTTTTCTCCCTCTCACTTCTTCAGTTTTCAGCTTGAGGTTGAGAGAGAGACTGTGGAGTTCAATCTCTTCATTTAGTATGACTTTTCGATCATAAACATTAAATTTTTCTCTTTAATTAATATATCTCTGCTTAAAGGAAGCTTAACACAACAATGAAGCTAAGCAGAAGAGAGGTTCCCATCTATGTGAGTAACACCTTTCTGTCTGTTTTTCTGCGTTTTTAAAATAGAAGCTGCTAATAGCAAATCAACAGATGCAGGTCTGCAATATGAAAGTACATTGTTTAAGTTCTTACTAATGTGAATGTGTGTTTTTAGGGCCAAGCAAAGGTTTTTGCGCTGATTCCCTCTGTACAAGATGAAGAGGTGTTTGTGGTTCTTGAAGGCTCAACTCTAGTGCATGTCCTGCAAACTAGAGTTCACGCCATGCTGTACTTCATTGTACCAGGTAAATCGTAAGCTAAATTATCCATAATGTATGTGTGTGAATGAGAGTGCATGGGTGTTTCCCAGTGATGAGTTGCAGCTGAAAGGGCATCTGCTGCGTAAAACATATGCTGGATAAGTTGGCGGTTCATTCCGCTGTGACGACCCCAGATTAATAAAGGGACTAAGCCGAAAAGACAATGAATGAATGAATATAATGTAATATAATATAGAGCAGCACGGTGGCTCTGTAGTTTGCACTGTCACCTCACAGGAAGAAGGTCACCTGTTTGAGTCGCGGATGGCCAGTTGGCATTTCTGTGTGGAGTTTGCATGCTCTCCCTGTGATGGTGTAGGTTTCCTCCAGGTGCTCTGGTTTCCCTCACAGCCCAATGACATGCACTATAGGTGAACTGGATAAACTAAATTGGCCGTACTGTATGAGTGTGTGTGTGAATGCAAGAGTGTATGGGTTTTTCACAGTGCTGGAAGGGCATTCGCTGCATAAAATAAATGCTGGGACAGTTGGCGGTTCATTCCGCTGTGGCGAACGCTAATAAATCAGAGACTAAACCAAAGCAAGTTAAATAAATGAATACTATAATATAATATAAAGTTTTAAAAAGAGACCTGCCTACATTGTTTCTCCTTGCATGCTATTGTTACGTTTAGTTGGTGCTCCTTGTGTGATGTCATTGTTGTTTATGTCTTTGTGTTTAGGTCATAACCTGTCAGAGATGGTGCGTGTCCGAGCGTATATTTTCACAGATGAGACTGTGATGTGTGTAGGCGTGTCATATCTGACATACGTGGAGGATGATGCACAGGAACTGGCTGAATTCCTGGTTACCCATAGCGACCGCCTCAGCACCAGTGAGCACAGAGATCTGATTGGCCGATATGGTTTGAGTGACAGCTCAACAAAAGCAGAGATGGATGAAAAGATCAGGCTGGCCCTAGCCAATCTACACACCCCACACAACCTGCTCGGACAGTCCAGACAAGGTTTGTTTATATATGCATACGTGTGTGTGTGTGTGTGTGTGTGTGTGTTTATGCATGGTGGCAAGACAACCGGAGCACCTGTTTCCGTGTATTGTATGAATGTGTGTATGTGTAATCAGATTTAACTGTTCCTGCTTCACATCCAGATGACACAAATGTCCGGAGATGAGCTGTGGAATTATAAACACTGACTTTCTAATTGGATTAGAGGTCACTGTGGTGACCACAAATGAGGATGTCCAAAATATACTGTCATTGAGCTTCACAGACTGACAAAGTGGGAGGCACATAGAGAGATATGAATAGCTTTTTAACGTATTTATGAAATTTGTAAATTAACTAAAACTGCAATTTGTGTGTAAATGTGTGTGTTTGTTTGCACATAGAATCTCTCCTGCATGTGTGTGTGCGTCTGGGGTTTGTGAGCGTCTCAGAGTTTCTCCTCTGTCAGCCTGGTGCCCTGATGACTATCCACTCACCCAATCAGGATGGGGACACGCCCCTTCAGCTGGCCCAGCAGACCAATCAGCACGCTTTGATAAAACTCTTCAATCAGTAATGTATCCTTATTGCTTTAAGCTTATCTATCGTTAAAAATTTCAGAAATATCTTATGCAGAAAAAAGTGACAGCTACAGTGCATCCGGAAAGTCTTCAAATTCAAAAAGACTTGAGGCTGTAATTGCTGCCAAAGGTGCATCAACAATGTATTGAGCAAAGGCTGTGAATACTTTTGTACATGTGACTTTTCAGGTTTTTTATTTTGAATAAATTTGCAGCATTTTCAAAATCTTTTTCCACATTGTCATTAAGGCGTATTGTGTGTAGAATTTTGAGTAAATAAATGAATTTAACCTATTTTGGAAGTAGGCTGTAACATAAAAACATGTGGAAAAAGTGAAGCGCTATGAAGACTTTCCAGATGCACTGTATGTACATCACTGGTTTTTATGAAAGTGTAAAAATGCAGTTTGCTCCTCATATAAAACTATTGTATGGCTTTAGAAGACTAAAGGCCCAGATATACTCTTAAAATATATATTAAAGAACAAACTATTGTGACATTGTTTTGAACAAAATCAGGCCAATACAAAATTTGCACTGCAGGTTAAGAAAACATATGCAAATAGAAAAACACTAACAGATTAAAAAACATCTTTACCAGTGTCATCAGCAAATTCTCACCATGCATGGAAATACAGAAACATGCTGCGAATAGCACAGACCCCAAGGGAAATGTGTGGGGGGACACTCCAAGAGTGACAAACCCGACAGCTTTCTAGTTAGGGGTGTTGTCGGAGATCTGAGAGGTTGGTTTTATTTATTTTAACACCCTGATTGTATAGTACTGAATATTATGGCTAAAGTATACAAACAACAACATTTGTCCAGGACATTAAAACAAATCAAAAACGTACCTCTCAGATCTCCTTGATAAAGATATTTTCAAAAATCTTTTGTGTTTTTATTTCCGTGTGTTTTCTTAACTTGCTGTGCATTTCCTTTTTTTCATGTGTTGTGTGAATCTGTGTGCATGTATGTTGTCAAACTGTTGAAGAATAGGGATGAATATGAATTCATTTATTTACTCGTTCTCCATTTATTTGAGTTCCTTTCTTCTGTTGAACACTAAAGATATTTTGATGATTGTCGGAAACTGGGAACCATTCACTTCCATAGAAATTCCTACTAGGCAGGCATGGTAATATTAGGCTTTCCTAATTTGTGATAAGAATGATACTCTCTTTATGTCTCTTTCAGTCCTCCCAATCCTCTAGCCACACCTCTAGCAGGCGTGTCACAAGTATGGGCTGGTAAATCCCACCTCCTCAGGTTTAGCCACGCCTCTGAGATGCTTTCTCTGTCCGTGTGTGCGTCTGAGCTCTGTCCTACAACAACAACCATTCAATCATCCATATCACTGCTGCGAGAGTGTGCACAGGACTCTGCATTGATAAACAAGGTCAGATAAAAGAGGTTAAAGGTCGCACAGGTAATGCTTGTTAACATTAAAAGAGAGGGATAGTTCACCCAAAAAATCTAAATTCTGTCACTATTCACTTATTTAAAACCTATTTGAGTTTCTTTCTTCTGTTGAGCACAGAAGATGATATTTTGGAAAAATGCTGGTACGCTGGAACCCATTGACTTCCATAGTAATGTTTTGTAGTATATTATATGGGTGTCAGCAACAAGCATTCATCAAAATATCTTATCTTGTATTAACCAGAAGAGAGAAATTCAAATAGGTTTAAAAGCACATGAAGAAGAATAAATGTTGAGGAAATGAACATTTTTTGGTCAGCTATCCATTTAAATTGAACTGAACTTGACTGGATTGAAATGATTGAACTGGAAACTTCTTATATTGATTTGATGTTTATGGATTGTGTATATGTTTGTGTAATTTTAGCTCAAAGGTCTGAGAGTGGAAACAGAAGGAACTGAAAGCAACACTTTGTCTTCATACTCAGGTTAATGTTTCTCTTTTGACTTTCAAACTATATTCAAGGCTGTCATCAAGTATCTGCTGACTGTGACTCAGGATTAACATTTATTTCTCACTTATTTTCATGCAATCTTTAAAAAAGGATCACCATACTCACTGCTTCACAATGTAAGTGGCTGTATGTGACAGTGTTGAACACTTCTAGCTATTTACTTTGCTTGCTATATAGAACAATTAGATAAGCTACAGTTGATGACAGACAGTCTAAGGAAGACACAGCGGTAAATAAATAATAATAAAATAAATAAATATATTAGATGCGTAAATAAATGGCTTGAATCGCATAAAGTCTAAATTGTTTAAAGCAGCGATCATTTAAATGCGAATGGTTGGCGATTCCGCCCGAATCATTCAAATTGTTCAAATGAATCATTTGTACCGAATCGTTTTGAATGCTACAATTCGTTTTAGCATTTATAATTTTCTTGACAATTCTTGCTTTAAATGTGTGTTATTTTGTTGATTTATTTCACATTGTTGTTTACTGCTTTTCTCTTAGGCTTGGCTCAACAACACCAGTCAGGATGAAGATGAGGAGCTCTTGTCATCTGATGACTCCGGTATAATGTTTGTTTATCTCTGCCCACTGGCAGATTTAGGAATTTTTAAAGGCAGGGGCCAAGGTGGGGCCACAGTTTACAAAGGGGGACCAAGTTATTTAATTGGTGCACTATATGTTTAGATCATATAACTCTTTGTCCTTTTAAAAGTACAGTATATATTACTATATATATAGGCCTAACATATCTTTTCAGAGGTTATTTTTACATGTGCAAATAGCAAAGATATCAGAAAATCACAATTTTACCTGCAGCGTTTCTGTAAGAAAAAATAAATAATAATTGTGTTAACAAATATGGGAGACTGGGGAGTGTGAGCAGGAGAAGTTGCATGTGTCTGAGCAAGATTGTAGGTTTTATCATTATTTTTTATTAAACATTTTTAAAGAAACTGATTCTCACAACAAACATTTTTCCCCTAGCATTCATTAGATAAAAAAAATACTTGCATAATCTAGTTTCAATGTTTTTATTATTAGAAATTTTCGCAGACATTTACTTTAAAATACACTTTTTTTAACATAAACATAAAACTTGCATTCTAACAATTAGACATTTAAAAAGAAAAATAATAAACATAATAGAAAAACAACAACAAACAACAGTCATAAAAATAATAATTAAACAAAAAACATGAACATGCATTCCCCCAACCAACCACCCACCCATCCAACAATAAACCAAGGTACTAAATGCATAGTAAACATATTAATCACAAGTTTGTAAAAAGGAAATAAAAGGGGACTACATTTTATTCAAATAACAAAACCTTGTCTATGAGGGTATATCTGATTTTTGTAATGAACCCGTTATCTTTTTTTTTTTCTTCCAAAACAAAAGGATAGATTTTTTGGCAGAGATCAACCCATATGAAACAAACTGTTGTTGTACCTGTGTAAGTCTCAAAAATTCTTCTGTAACTCCAAATATAATTAATATAGGATCTGGTTCAATCGGAATGTCTAATGTAACTGAACAAACTTGAAATATTTTGTTTCAGAAACTCTGTAATTTGGGACACATAACAGAAATGAGACACTTTGGAATTTAAAAACTGACATTTGTCACACACTGGGGACACTTCTGGAAATATTTTATTCAATTTACACTTGGGATAACTTGCATAATCTAAAGAAGTTGTTTCATTAGTTTAGTTTTATGCTAAGCGCTCAAGCTATCTTCAGTCCCACATGCTAAAAAGTAACTATGTTATAGCTGGTGCATTTTGGTACGTTTCTCTTTTTATAGTGTACCTGGGCAAGGAAAGCAAAGGACAGACAGTGGTGTCGCTGCAGAAATCTGTCAGATGTTGTTGGTTCTGGATGCACAGACTCTTCTCAGGAAACCTGTGGCAGACTTTGAATTTCAGAAGAACGGGGAGGAATTATTATAGTGTTAAAGGGATTATTCACCCAAAACTGAAAATTGTCATCAAGTTGAAACCTGTAACCATTGACTTCAATGGTTACAGGTTTTTAGATTTCTTAAGCGAATCCTTTTGTTTTACAGTAGAATTTCCATTTAATAAAAATTAAAAAATCGTCAGTTACTAAACTTTGTTCTTTAATAAGGTTTTTGCATGACCTGGATAAAGGGGTTGATATTAGTTCACCAAACTGAAATAAGAGACTAAAATGTAATCACTACATTATATTTATTTCGCAAACATGAACAACGTTACTCATAAAAATAATTAGGTGACGCTTTATTTTAAGTTGTCCTTGTTACACGTTTTAAATACTCACTATAGTAGACTAATTATAATTAATTGTACAAAAATTACAACTAATCTGGCTCATCCTGACCCTAACCATATAGTATTAAGTTAATGTAATTAATTAACACAACACTAACTCACCTTAATATAAATTGTAACCATAATTAAATGTTTAAAATTCATAGTAGGGCTACACTCATGAGTTTAATTTATTGATTTAATTTTAAGTCATTTGCAGCATGAATTAAATGCGCCTTGTTGTTTTAATCAAGGTGTTGATATATGATGCTTGTGTTTTATGGTAATATATAGTTTTTGTTTTGTGTGTTGTTTGCCATATTATCTTAAAATAGGCTATATTTGAAACTTTGAGACCTTCCTGGGAATTTAAATGACATATACAAAATGAGTTGATTGGTTATTTTTATAAACAAATTTGGAGAGGAGCATTTGGCTTGTCTGGTCTCGCATTAACAGTTGTAAGCCCAGTCAATCAGTAAGTAAAAACACTATAAATAACCAAATCACCTTACCTCAATCATCTCTCAGCATCCCTCCACCACCCCTACTCCACCACCCCCTCTATCTTCTCCAGTGGAAGAGAACAGGGGAGGTTTCTGCAGGACTGAGCCTGAGCTCAGACTCCTCTCTTTCCCGATAAAGTGAAGAACCTCGGGCTCAATACGAGCTCAGGGCTCTTGCCCAGGACAGGATGCCAAATACGCATTCAGTGAAGCATCTGCTAAGTGTGAACTCTTGAATTGTGTTTAAAACGAACCTCCAGTCCTATCAAGAGTATATGTTATATCTAATATGGCATGTTCTTGTATCTTGATTTTTACAATACATATTTGTGTTTTTGTAGATGAGCTCACAACTGACTCAACAAACAGTTCGCTCACCATTACAAACAGCATCAACACTCTGCAGGCTGGTGAGGATCAGGTGAGGTGGATATTCTCTAAAGCAGTGGTTCTCAAACTGTGGTACGTGTACCACTAGTGGTACACAGGCTTCTTTCTAGTGGTACGCGGAGGAATGAAATATGTCATGCTACACACATTTAAAAATTTATCAAAAAATATGTATATAATATGCCATATATGACATATAGCCTATATTTCTGAGGTAATCTACCAAATTTTTTAACTGTGCAGAGTTGTAGCTGCTTTACTGGGCCTACTGTGCAACTGTAGTTCAATACTGCTCATTTTGGTGGTACTTGGAGAGACCATTTTTTCTGAGGTGGTACTTGATGAAAAAAGTTTGAGAACCACTGCTCTAAAGGCTTTTCGTCAATGTGTATTTTCTAAAATTACTGTGTGTGATGATTTTGAGATGCAGATTGCACCACAAAATTTTTTATGATTATTATTTTAGGCAATTTATCCTCAGGACTCAATTGATTTTGAGTCAGACTCTACAGCATCTGGACAAGACTCTCCCATGCAAGACCATTTTCCCATCAATAGTCCACAGGACGGTGAGTTTGACTGTTTTCATGTGTATAATCCTAGGTGTGTTCCATTCAGATTGAGAAATGTACAAAATAAAGTGGCTAATAAAAAATCTTCAGTCCAAGGCACTCAAAGTAGGTGAACTTTCTTTTTTTTAATTATTTTAAGTGCCTTGGACTGATGATTTTTTGTGTATCTATATGAATCCCTTGTCCAGATAGAATTGAATTATGGAATTTTAATTTTAAAGTGACTAATAGTTTGCAATACTGTTTTTTGTTTGTTTGTTTGTTTTCAGATCCATTCCCCTTCAATGATGAAGAAACATCTAGAGAGATCAGAAGGTATTTAATTTCCCAAACCCATGCACACAGACATCAGTTTCACATATTCTAGTTTTAAGTGAAAACTATGTTTTAATATTAATGTCCAAATTCTCAGTATGTGGCACAGCAAGTCAGAGGAGGATGAGAAAGAGAAGTTCATTCCTACATCCAAAAGCGAGACGGAGAAATATAAAGTGAGTCGAACACTAAGCTTCCTCAGGAGCCGAATGGTCAACACCAAAATAAAAAACAAGGTGAGATGGACAAACACTTGAGTGAAGCAATTCATAAAAACAAAATATAACTTTTAATGCATTTTTTCAAATGTATTTTACATATAGTAATGCGTACAAAATATCAAGAAATCAATGAAAAAATTGTATTGGTGTAATATTACTGTTTTTTTTATACTTTCAATATTGTGTTTCAACATGTTTTTGAAAAATATTTATTTTATTTACATACAGTTCAGGCAAAATGATTAATTAATGTGAAATTTATTTATTATTATTATTATTATTGATTTTTTTTTTTTACATATTTCCCAAGGGATGATTGAATGTTAAACAGAGCAAGGAAATTTGACACTATAATATTTTTTTCTTCTGGAGAAAGTGTTATTTCCTTTAGTTTGACTAAAATAAAATCAGTTTTAGAGTTAAAAAAAATAAATAATTTGAAGTCAACATAAATAGCATGTATTTTTTTAATTGAACGCAAAACAAACCACTGTTTCAAGTCTTCAATGACTTGCCTAATTAACCTGACTTAGATATCCAATCTTGTTGAGCCTTTAAATTGCACTCTAAGCTGAATACTAGTGTCTTGCAAAGTATCTAGTAAAATATTATGCACTCATTGCAGTGTCATCATGGCGATGACAAAATAATTTAGTTTTGAAAATTGGAATTTAGTTATTGAAACTATTATTGTTTAAAATCATCCCTATGTTAAACAGCACTCAGGAAATATTTGAAATTTCATAGGAAGACAAAAACTGTTGTCTTCAACTGTATATACGCAGTGTAGGGCACGTTCCTTTAAAAGAATAATTAGTTATAGTTACTAGTTACTTCTCATTATAAAAGTTACTAATTTCCAGGGAAAGAACACAGTAAAAAATGCTGAGTTATTTATTTAACTCAACGGTTGAGTTAAAAATATTTGATGCTTTGTTGGGTTCATTTTAACATTTATTGAGTTATTTATTTAAAAACTCAACCAGCTGGGTTAAAAATGTTGAATTTCAACAGTCAACTGATTTATCTGACAGTACAGCTGTATGTGTGCATTGTTGTTTTTGCATTGTAACGTTTATTTAAGTTTAGGCTCAAGTTTAACTTGTTGTTTTTTAATCAAATTACCTCTCTGTGTCGTGTTTTTTTTATATCCGTTTCACCAGCACTCTTAATTATTGATGATACAAACGCGTGCTTCATAGCAGATCTATATTAAACGGATAAAAACGCTTAAGTGGAACTTAAAATGTAGAGAAAGAAAAACCTAGCATCTTCAGTACTTTTGAAAACTGCATATTATTTATTTACACAGCCATAATATAGTAGTACTAATAGAGTGGAGGAACTATGACGTCACTTTGTAGGCTAATCGGCTGCTAGAATAAAACTGGTTCCCTCGTGAAAATCCCTATAGGATTTTCCCATAGGGTTTTCGAAGATTGCGAATAATAAGCTCTGTGTTCAAACACGGTTCATTACACTTACACATTTTGTTCAGCCGGATAATTGTCACACGAAAATACAACTTTGTGCACTTTTTGACCTTAAATGCAAACGCAAGACTTGAAAAGCTAACATTAGGCTATAAACGGACTACAGGTTGTTTTTACGCACGCGAGCGATACACTTATTTAAATATGTCTCATAATAATACTATATAGGCACATTTATACACATTTTTAAAACTTTTAGAACAACCGCAAAGCAAAACAGATTTCCCACGTAAAAACGATCCAAAAGGCACAAAGATCTATTTGTGTTTGCGTGTTTATTAGTTTATAATAAATAGCGTGGATTATAATATAATAAACAGAGAGATTAACTCTTTGTCATGGACAATATTTCTAAAAAATAAGCTTGATAAGTTGTCTGTAGCAGGGTGGGGCTGACGTCACTGACGAGCGCCCCGAGGGCTCTGTAGTCCGTTTATAACCTAATGTTAGCTTTTCAAGTCTTGCGTTTCATTTAAGATCCAAAAGTGCTCAAAGTTGTATTTTCATGTGACAATTATCCGGCTGAACAAAACGTGTAAGTGTAATGAACCGTGTTTGAACACAGAGCTTATTATTCACAATTCGAAAACCCTATGGGAAAATCCTATAGGGATTTTCACGAGGGAACCAGTTTTATGCTAGCAGCCGATTAGCCTACAAAGTGACGTCATAGTTCCTCCACTCTATAGTAGTAATAGTAATATTAGAATAAAAAAATAACGTTTAATCAAAATAACCCAATGCATTGGGTTAAAATAACCCATAGTTGGGAAGGTGCTATAATAACCTATAGTTGGGTTATATGTTGGGGTATTTTTATCCCAACTGTTTTAACTGAGTAACTATTATTAAGGTTACTTAAAAAAATAATAATCTAATTTGTCAAATGACTAAAAAATAAATATAAAACATTTCACACTACTCCACTATTTTAATGTTGCTGTTAGACACTGAGAGAGAAAACCATCAAATTCAACATATCATTACTATAGTTGCACAATAAACCACAATAGATGGTTTAGAACTTTAAGTATTTACTGCACAGACCTTTCCCAGTGATGGGTTGCAGCTGGAAGGGCATCTGCTGTGTAAAACATAAGTTGGCGGTTCATTCCGCTGTGGTGACCCCGGATTAATAAAGGGAATAAGCCGAAAAGAAATTGAATGAATAATAGAATGAATAGGTGTGTGCGACTGACACACTCACCCTTTTCTGCCTGTGATTGGCAAACAATGCAAATGGACACTATCTAAGCCAATCATCACGTTCCTAGTTACACCATGTTCACAGACACACCAATCATCAACACTGGTTAGTTATATATCCTGCTCCAGCCCTGAACACACACACACACACACACACACACACACACACAAATCAGAAAAAAAAAGGTCCTATGGCACATTTTATTGTGTTAGTAATGGTAACTGCGTTGTTAGGGAGGAAACAGTAATTCATTTGATTACTTCGTTACTGAAAAAGTAGCGCTGTTTATTTATAGCGCCGTTATTCCTATCACAGTATATAAGACACCAAAATAAAAAAGTCAAAAAGTAATAAATATATGCAAATATTTTGGAAAACTATAGTTTATAAGAAATTGTAGGGTTTTTTTGCCGGTCTACATTTGCGATTATTGAAATAAAATAGAATTATATATTAATAAAAAAATCGTCAGGAGAAAAATAGCATTCAATATTATCACAATTTTGAGATGCTTTTATTTACTTATTTATTATTTCAGCTAGTCGGTTTTAATACACTTTTAATATCTGTTTGTTGACAGGTAAATGCAGATGTTTCCTCAGCCTTGCACCAGCTCTGCTCACTGCAGGAGCCTGTTAATACAGCTTGTGAAGTCTGTGAGGATGTGAACAGTGATGAACCACAGCAGTGCACATGTGAGCGTGTGTTTCTTTTGCATATTCATATCACTTACAACACTTGCAGAGGTTGTGTGTGATCTTACTCACATGTGAATCAGCCATGTTTGAATTTTTAAAGTAAAATTTTGCACACAAATGATCTACCATCATTTTCTGAACACAACAATCCTGTGATAATAATAGTCTAGAGTAAATCTGCATTATATCGTTTACATTTATGCACCAATAATTGTACCAAAAGTCTAACGTTAAGATGTCACTTTCTATCCAGACTGCTCCATGATCATTCATAGGGCCTGCTGTGATTCTGGCCCTCTGTGTTTAAAGGTGTGTAAGTGTGTGTTTGTGTGCACAGTTTAATTACAAGGCTGCTTGAATCTAAAATATGTGTTTGCATTTATTTCCACAATCCAGAATCCTCATCAGGCACTTTTGAAAAGCGCAGACTCTTCAATATTAATTTGTGAGAGAGCAAATATGTTACATTCTGATTAGCCACGTTATGAAGTGTTTATGTAATCACGCTTGCTTCATTAACAGACTCGTCCAGTCAGAGTTCTCCATCCCTGTCTCTGGTCCCTGACAGTAGCACAGTATCACACAGGTCTGTTTCTGTTTTACACTAACTTTATTCGTCTTAAAGTCAGCAGTGTTTTGAGATTTGAGATGGGTTTTTTATGCTTCTGTATCAGAAAGAGGAGTAACAGCGAGGGGTGTGGCCATAATGTCACTCTGCGGAAAAGCAAGTCATTGATTGGTCATTCTTCTGTAAGCTCCGCCTCCAGTAAGTTTGTCAAGACATTCCAAAGCTGTAAAGTAGGACTTTTTTCTTTTCTTATGCTTTTGATTTTTTCCCCTCACAGTTAAGTGAGGAATGAAACTAGTAAGTAGTCCTAGTTTTGGTCAAGTTTTTTATTTATTTATTTATTTTTATAGAGTTTTGTAATATTTTTATTCATTAATTTCTTTTCTTTTCGGCTTAGTCCCTTTATTCATCAGGGGTCACCACAGGGGAATGAACCGCCAACTTATCCAGCATATGTTTTACACAGCGGATGGCCTTTCAGCTGCAACCCATTGCTGGAAAATATCCATAAACACTCATTCACACACATACACTACGGCCAATTAAGCTTACCTAATTCACCTATAGGGCATGTCTTTGGATTGTGGGGGAAACCGGAGCACCCAATGGAAACCCACACAAACACGGGGAGAACATGCAAACTCCACACAGAAACGTCAACTGACCCAGCCGGTGTTTAAACCAAGGACCTTCTTGCTGTGAGGCAATTGTGCTACACACTGCGCCACTGTGACAAAAATATTATTAATAATATTTTAGTTTGTTTTTTTCCTTTTTTTTCTACTTTTTTTAAAATTTTTATTTAGAGAAAAGAAAGAGAAAAAAAACAGAGAACAAAGCAGTTGTCATAGGGGTTACAGAATCAAGTCATTTTACGTTTGACATACAATATCACAAATTGTTTACAATGACATATTCAGACCATTTTTTCCAGTACTTGTTACACTTTTAAAAAAAATCAAATCTTAGATTAAAAGTGAGCCTCTCCATACAGTGTATTTCCTTTACAATTCCTATCCATTGAGCCCTTGTTGGAGGATCAGCCCGGAACCATTTTCGAGTTATGACTTTCCTGCTACTTACCAAAAGGATTTGAATTAAGTATTTGTCAATAGTTGGAATAGTTTCTGGTATTTTCCCAAAGTATAATGTTATAAATGAGTCGTCCAATTCTTCTCCTGATTATATTTTAGTTTTAATAAACTATGGGGGAAACCAGAGCACCCCGAGGAAACCCACACCAATTAGGGGAGAACATGCAAACTCGACACAGAAATGCCAACTGACCCAGCCGAGACTCAAACCAGCAACCTTCTTGCTGTGAGACGACAGTGCTAACCACTGAGCTACCGTGATGCCCTTAATAATTCATTTTTATTCAAGTTTGACATCACTTGTCATTGTTGTCAAATAACATGAATAATCTTTCATTCATTTTCTTTTCAGCTTAGTCCCTTTATTAATCAGGGGTTGCCGCAGCGGGAATGAACCGCCAACTTATCCAGCATATGTTTTTACAAAGCGTATGCCCTTCTAGCTGCAACCCAACACTAGGAAACAGCTATACACTCTTACATTCACACACACACATTATGGCCAAATCACCTATAGCGTATGGAAGGTAAATCCTGCCAATTTTAAATAAATCAAATAAACATTGGAAATGAAAATCAGATTAACAATTTCATTTTAAAACACTGCTCGCAAAATATCTGCCAAAATTAAAAACAAAATGAAATTATTTAATTTTCATTTTCTTTTTCACTTTCACAACACATCGTCCCTGTCAAATTGATAATTAAAATGAAGTTGCTAATGTAACATTTCATTTTCACTGCATTTCCTCGTCAAGACTGCCAATATTAAAATGAAAAGCCAAACTGAAAAATAAAATGCAAACACAATTTTTACAAAGTGTGTTATTAATGTTCACGCTATAATAGTGACACAACCTAAATTAAAATGTAAATTTAAGCTTTCCTTTTATTGACACTTTTTCATTTCAGTTTTCATTTTTGATTTCAATTTCAACTTCAAGCTGTATGCAAAGCCTATGCTAATCAGTGGGAGGGGCAAATTCAAGTGACGTTGAGTGCTTTCACACACAGAGCCGGAGGGCAGAAGCACGGTTTTGATGGATAGGATAGTGTGAGTTACTAGTGTAAATACAGTATAACAGAAGTAAAATGGCAAAAACTGTTAGTCAGCTTTTACGACGTCACTTGAATACGCCCCTCCCACTGATTAGCATAGGCTTTGCATACAGCTTGAAGTTAAAAATGAAATCGAAAATGAAAACTGAAATGAAAAAGTGTCAATAAAAGGAAAGCTTAAATTTACATTTTAAGTTAAATTGTGTCACTATTATAGCGTGAACATTAATAACACACTTTGTAAAAATTGTGTTTGCATTTTATTTTTCAGTTTGGCTTTTCATTTTAATATTGGCAGTCTTGACGTGGAAATGCAGTGAAAATGAAATGTTAAATTGGCAACTTCATTTTAATTATCAATTTGACAGAGATGATGTGTTGTCAAAGTAAAAATGAAAATTAAATAATTTCATTTCGTTTTCAAATTGTTAATCTGATTTTCATTTTCATTTCCAATGTTTATTTGATTTATTTAAAATTGGCAGGATTTACCTTCCATAATAGTGCATGTCTTTGGACTTGTGTAGGAAACCAGAGTACCTGTAGGAAACCCATTGCCAACACGAGAAGAACATGCAAACTGACATGCACACAGAAATGCCAACTGACCCAGCCAGGGCTCGAACCAGCGACCTTCTAGCTGTGAGGCGATTGTGCTAGCCACTGCGCCACTGTGACGCCCTTATGAATAAACTATAGTTTTACCAAAAGACACTTATACACTCTAAAACACTTGAGTTTGTCCATCTATGTGTCGATTTTACATAAAATCTGAAGACTTTTTAACCCAACATCATCTCTGTGCCAGATTCATCAGCTCAGATTTCGTTTGACTACTCTGCTGAATCGTGGAGTGCAGTTGTAGACGCTGAATTCAGCAGGACACTTGAGAAAGAGGTGGTCAAGAGACAGGAGATCATCTATGGTCAGTAATCATGGCTGCACAACATGTTCAGTAGAATGTTGATGGTTTTAGATGGCATACAATGCTCTAGATGGACTATTGTGTTTGATGGAATGCCTGATTTGATTGGTCAGTGTTGTGTTTGTGGTAGAGCTGATGCAGACAGAATTTCACCACGTCCAGACGCTCACCGTTATGGCTGATGTTTTGAGACGGGGACTGCAGGAGGACGTGCAGGTGGAGCAGGACGTCATCAGTCAGATTTTCCCCAGGCTGGACGAGCTCTTAGCTTTGCATAGGAACTTTCTTTTAGACATGGAGACCAGACAGAGGGCTTCTGTTTACCCAGGAGAGCACAAGAACTACATCATCCAGCAAATCGGTGATATCCTGTGTCAGCAGGCAAGAAAATAATCACTTCACATATTGAGACTGAACAAATGTAGCTTTTACCTTAAGCTTTAATTTGTAATCTTATATGTAGTTCTCAGGCCCAAATGCGTCTCAGATGATAGAGTTATATGGCGACTTCTGCAGTCAGCATCCAGAAGCGCTGAAGATTTATAAGCAGCAGTTGCAGAACAACAGGAAACTGCAGTTATTTCTCAGAGTAAGTTGAGTGAATGTGCACAGAAACATGCTTATGGGTAGCAGCTTATGGAAGTTTTTGAATACCCAAATTTTTTTTTGTCTTCCACAGCAGCAGAGCACCAAATCTGTCATCAAACGCCGCGAAATCCCAGAATTCCTTTTGCTCGTGACTCAGAGAATCACAAAGTACCCTGTTCTGATAGAGAGACTCCTTCAACACACTGATGGTAAATATGGTAAATGCATATTTGTAGAAGCTGGTAAAGTGCAAAAATTGTTTATGAATATAATAATAATAATAATAATTATAATAATAATAATGAATTTTATTTGTAATGCACTTTTCTTAACCTCAAAGCACTACAATAGAAGATATTAAGCACATCAATTATTTTTTTTAAAGTACAAAATACATAAACAGTACAAAATAAGCCATCAAATATCTAATAACATATTTGAAAATCTGGAATCTGAGGGTTAAAAAAAACAAAATACTGAGAAAATCCCATTTAAAGTTGTCCAAATTAAGTTCTTAGCCATGCATATTACTAATCAAACACGTAATTTTGATATGTTTACAGTAGGAAAATCTCGTCATGGATCACAATCTTTACTTGATATTTCTAATGATTTTAGAAGTCAAATATAATCAAGGTTTGAAATGAACACCCACTTACCATGTCAAATGTCTGAAAATCTGTTTATAAAATATATTTAAGTATAAAATAATTTTGATTATTTAGTATATGCTATTTTTCTTTTGGCTTGGAGTTCTCAATGACCAATAATTGCCTGGTAAGAGGAAAAAAATTCATTTGAAGCCCAGAATAAACTTCTGAAAGCGCTGGTGTATAATACAAAAAAGCATTTATACAACTTAAAAGGACAGTTCACCCAAAATTGTTTAATTCTGTCATTATTTACTCATCCTCCACTTGTTTCAAACCCTTTTTGATTTTTTTCCTCCCATTAAACACAGAGAAAGATATATATAAAAAGAGGAAAAAAACATATATAAACATATATATATATGAAATATATATATGAAATATATATAATATTTGTGTTTATTTTTCAGAAGAATTTGAAATAAAAAATAGAGGGTTTGGGTTATTCTGTTTATAAGATTAACGGACCAAAATTAATGCAAGAGCACAGTGCATACATCATTATTGAGTAAATAGAGAGGAAATTTTTGGGTGAGCTGTATATTTTTAATACACTATATACAGCTGAAGTCAGAATTGTCAGCCTTCTTTAATTATAAGCCCCCCTGTATATTATTTTCCCCAATTTCTGTTTAACAGAAAATGTTTTTTTTTTTTCTTCAACACGTTTCTAAACATAATAGTTTTAATAACTCATTTCTAATAACTGATTTATTTTATCTTTGCCATGATGACAGTAAATAATATTTTACTAGATGTTTTAAAGATACTAGTATTCAGCTTAAAATGACATTTAAAGGCTTAACTAGGTTAATTAGGTTAACTAGGCAGGTTAGCGTAATTAGGCAAGTTATTGTATTGTTCTGTAGAGAATCGAAAACAAATAATTGGGCTAATAATTTTGACCTTAAAATGTTTGAAAGAAACTGCTATTATTCTAGCCAAATTAAATAAAACAAATGAGATTTACCCAAAAAGAAAAAACATTAAAGGAAATATTGTGAAAAATTCCTTGCTCTGTTAAACACTATTTGGGAAATATTTGAAAAGAAAGAAAAAATTACAGGAAGGCTAATCATTTTGACTTGTAAATAACTTTGTTGTGTGTTTGCCCTGCAGATGGCAGTGGCGAGCATTATGACATTGCAATGTCACTTGAGGGTCTGCGTGCGGTGATAGAGGAGGTGGACCGGCGTGTGGGACAATACGAGCGCTCAAAGAAGCTGCAGGACATTATCAGTCGACTGGACAACAAGAGCTGCACTCGTCTGAAGAACGGAGAGATCTTCGGCAAACAAGACCTGCAGAAATCACACCGAACTCTCACTCACTCCTCAGTGCTGACATGCAGGACGACCTCTGGCAGACTCAGAGGTCCTACTGCATGTGTTCATTTCATTTTTGTTCATAAATACACTGTCTAACAAAAGTCTTGTCGACTATCCAAGTTTTAGGAACAACAAATAGTAACTTGACTTCTGGTTGATTGGTTGGTGTCAGAAGTGGCTTATATGAAAGGCAAAGGCCTCTAGATTACACTTATTTTACCAAAATAAAACATAATCATGCCTTGATTTTTAGTTATATAATAAGGACAGTAAGGGCTGACTTAGCTTAGACAAAAGTCTTGTCACTTAACAGAAATAATGTACAGTATAGAATATAAAGTCATGGTGCAGTGGAAAAAGAATGAATATTGTGTATGACTCCCATGAGCTTGGAGGACTGTATCCATACATCTCTGCAATGGCTCAAATAACTCATCAATAAAGTCATCTGGAATGGCAAAGAAAGCGTTCTTGCAGGACTCCCAGAGCTCATCAAGATTCTTTGGATTCATCTTCAATGCCTCCTCCTCCATCTTACCTCAGACTTGCTAAATAATGTTCATATCTGGTGACTGGGCTGGCCAATCCTGGAGCATCTTGACCTTCTTTGCTTTCAGGAACTTTGATGTGGAGGCTGAAGTATGAGGAGCGCTATCCTGATGAAGAATTCACCATCTCCTGTGGTTTGTAATGTAATGAGCAGCACAAATGTATTGATACCTCAGGCTGTTGATGTTGCCATCCACTCTACAGATCTCTCACATGCTCCACATACTGAATGCAACCCCATACCATGATTTTACCTTCACCAGACTTCTTGGGATGCAGTTCAACAGACGAATTATAGTCAAAATCTACTTTCTGACTCTTCCAAATGATCAACTAGAAGTAAAGTTATTATTTGTTGCTCTTACAACTGAGATTGACGACAAGACTTTTGTCAGGTAGTGTATACTGTTTAACTCAATTCTTAGTGTCTCTTTTCTTTATAGATGTTCTGGCATTGCTCCTCACAGACGTTCTGGCTTTCCTTCAGGAAAAAGAGCAGAAGTTTGTCTTTGCTGCATTGGTACGTGCACAATATATTGAGATTATATACAAGTTGTGTGTCTTTTGTGCAAATATATTGTTTCTTCAGGAGCAGAAACCCTCTGTGATGCCCTTGCGAAGGCTCATTGTGAGGGAAATAGCCAATCAGGAGCGAGGATTATTTCTCATCAGCAGTGACTGCTCTGGGGGGCCGGAGATGTACGAGATTCACACACAGACGCGCGAGGAGCGCAACACATGGATGACACTGCTGAGACAGGCAGCGGAGAGGTGTGTTAGGCCTAGATTTTTTTTTATTGAGTCAGGTAACCTTTTCTAGTCATTTCAACACACATTAATCAAACTGACTAAAAATATTGAGTTCAACTTTGTATAACTTTAAAACAATGAGTGGCACAGTGGCTCAGTGGGTAGCACTGGCGCCTCAAAGCAACAAGGTCGCTGGTTTGAGTCCCGGCTTGGCATTTCTTTGTGGAGTTTGCATGTTCTCCCCATGTTGGCGTGGGTTTCCTCCAGATCCTTCGGTTTCCACCACAGTCCGAAAACATGCGCTGTAAGTTAATTGAATAAAATAAATTAGCTATAGTGTATAAGTGTGTGCGTGTGAATGAGTGTATGGCCGTTTCCCAGTACTAAGTTGTGGCTGGAAGGGCATCCGCTGAGTAAAACATATGCCGGCATAGTAAGCGGTTCATTCCGCTGTGGCAACCTCTGAAATGGAGACTAAGCCAAAGGAAAATGAATGATGTTCGGGGGTGAGGTGTCTGAATAACACGATTGAGAACTGGGTTAGTAACAGTACGGTGGTGTTAGTAACTGTACTATGGAGGGGGTTTCGGACGGCTGATGCGATCGGATACTATACTAAAGTCATCGACCAGGGGGTGTTACAGACTGTACCTAACAGCTGAGGACCAAGAGGGTAAAGGGGGTGAAATTACACAAGATTTCCAGGAGAAATAACAAAACGGGTGGGTGACAAGATATGGGTCTGAAATACGGGAGACTCCTGGGAAAAACTGGAATGTTGGCAGGTATGGTGTGCAGCATCCACTTGGATGAAACAAACTCCACACAGAAACGTCAACTGAGCCGAGGTTGAACCAGCGACCCAGCAACCTTCTTGCTGTGAGGGGACAGCACTACCTACTGCGCCACTACGTCGCCTAAACTGTGATGAAAACATTTATTAAATATATTACATTTTATTTGGGATGGGATGGAACACATTGGATGGGAATTCGGGCAATTTATTTAAAGTAATTTTGCAAATTTGGATGTAAACTTAACTACCAGCAACTGGAATATTGGCTTTGGCTTTGTGTCTTTACAGGAATTTGTAATAATTAATGTGATGGCTACCTGTAATAAACATAAAATATAGCAATATTTATTTATTTTTTATCAAATTAATAGAGGTTATAAGAGTTTTTAAATTAAAACTGATAATTTGATTTAAAAAAAGTAAAGAAAAAATGCAGAAAAAAAATCATACTGACTCCAACCTTCCAACTGTATGTGTGTATGATGCAAAAACCTCTAAGTGTCATCTGAAATTTTCTTCTAAAATTTGCATTTTTTTCTCTCTGGTTCCTATGTGTAGGTTCAGTAATTTCACATAGAATAGGTAATATTTATTGCCTTTAATGTGAAATAACTGAACATAAATATAGGAGGCTGTGAAAAATGCTCATTTCAGAAGGCACTTTTTTTGTGAGGTTTTTGTGTCCAAACTTTTCATATAGGCAGCACGGTGGCTCAATGGTTAGCACTGTCACCTCACAGCAAGAAAGTTGCTGGTTGGAGCCCCAGCTGGGTCAATTGGCATTCCTGCGTTAGAGTATGCATGTTCTACCCATGTTCGAATGGGTTTCCTCCGGGAGCTCCGGTGTCCCACACAGTCCAAAGACATGCGCTATTGGTGAATTGAATAAAGTAATGATGAGTGTGAATGAGAGAGAGTGAATGGGTGTTTCCTAGTACTGGGTTGCGGCTGAAAGGCTATCCGCTGCATAAAACATATGCTGAATGAGTTGGCGGTTCATTGCGCGGTGGCGACCCCTGATTAATAAAGGCACTAAGCTGAAAGGAAAATGAATGAATGAATTGAACTCTTCATATATCTGTGTGTATTTTAGTCTTCCAGATGACCAAACCAAGAAGAATGAGGGGGAAATTAAAGTCAAGAAGATACAGAAACTGCAAGGTATACATCCATACATCACTTTGTCCGTGGCTTTATCATTCCTTGTGTCTGATTTCTTGGTTGTGTCTGCATTTAGAGGCGCTGTTTTCACTGGACCTGCAGGTGTGCTCAGTCATCGAGGAGAAGTTAAGGATCTGCAGAGGCACTGGTGGTAGATGGAATCTGGCTAGCTGTCGCCTTCTCGTTCAACCCCATCCTGAAAACACCCCTCAGTGTGTCACATTACTGTCTGACGCACAGGAAGAGGGTAAAAACAATCTCCTTTCACCTCTGCAGACACATATTAATGCTGTTTGTCTGAAGCCAACTCTCTTTCATTCCCAGTGGTGAAGCTGGCTGTCACCTTGCTGTCTTGGCTTTTCCCGTGCATATTGTCACCAAGTACCCCTGACAGCTTTAGAGAGGAAAGAGGAAACTGTGAGTAATACCTTTACACCCAGATTCATATATGAGCAATATCACACTCGTAGCAGTGTGATATGGCTGAATATTGGCACTGTTGGGAGGTGTTTGTTGGCTAGAGACTGCAGGCAGAGTGCCTTAGTGCCCCCCACCAGTGCCAATATAAGTCATATCGCACTGCTACGAGTGTGATAGTGCATTTACACAACAGTTCAACAGCATAATTGTGTGTATGAAAAAGAAAATCAAACGCGGAGAGTCTCAGAAACCCTTTTGTATGAGGAACTACTTTCTTCTGCCATTCATTCACATCTGAAGTTGACGTCAGAATAGCAGAAACCTACGTGTCTATGTGATGACAAATAAGATGATTTTGCTCAAATTTTAAGAGTATAAGGCTGAATGGCATTAATTGCCATCAATCTACAGAGATCTCCCAGTATTTCCCAGGAAAAATATAACCCTGAAAAAGCAAAGCAATCACTATTAGATATTTTTTGGCATAAATACAGCAATATAAAGTACAAAAGAGAGAGATCGACTCAGAATGTCACTTTCCAATTCTATGATTTGTTCAAGTTTCGTTTTGAATTTACGCTCAGAAAAATATTTTTATCTCCGGCTTATTATGCAGTCTCTTTCGCCATCTTGTGGCAGAACAATGCGACATTCATTTCTTTGCTCAAGTCGTGCTAAATTACTACAAAATTTGTACTACAAAAATATTTTTTATTAAATATTACTGCAATTTATATGAAATTAATTTATTGATCAATAAAATTTAACAAAAAACAATATAAAAAGAAGTTAAACAGTCAAAAGAATAAGTTTTCATTCAGCATTAAGTTAATGTAAATCACGTAATGTAAGTTAAACTTTACTGTAAATAACAGATTGACCAAAATATTGCTGTAGATATAGCCTCATCAAATAACATTTTACAGTAGACTAAAATAAAGACACCCACCATACTTTTGAATTAGTAGCTATCAGAGGAATGCTTACAACAATATGACGCAGTAAAAGTCCCAAAGTTTATGAAAACATTATCAAATAGGCACTATGAATAAACTGCACAGTTACAATCTAAACGACTACATTTCAGACTTAAAAAGCCTCAAAAGTCCATTATGTTGTCCAACAGCTGCAATATTTGTCAAACTGTGTAGAGAGTTGTTTAGGCTTCGTGATGTTGTGGAGTAATACAGAAGGGTGAAGAGGCTGTGTGAGTGCTGATAGTACTTTAATATCTCACAGCTATCAGCCAGTCAGAATCGAGAACCATACAGAACAGTTGTATAAATACCAATAAATCAGTTTTGTTGTTTATTTATTTATTTGTTTGGTCTCAATTGCATCACACACAAACATGTTGGTATTGGGGGTTTACAGGGACTCTTCATACTCTCTGTGTATTGTGCAGGGGTGGCCCTGTTCCTGGAGAGCCACCTTCCTGCAGATTTCAGTCGTTACCTAAACACACCTGAACCAATCAATTAGGACCTGAACACCAGGTGATAATTACAGGCAGGTGTGTTTGATATGGGTTGCAACTGAAATCTTCAGGAAGGTGGCTCTCCGGGAACAGGGTTGGCCACCCCTGGTATACAGTAAAAAAGCTAATGTCAGAAGATCTCGTTAAGTATGATTTTGAATTACAAGGACATCAGACATGTCCCCATAAGCTCCTCAATGGAGTACAACTGGGTCATACCCATTAAACAAAAATACAGTCCTTGTAAACCACCAAAAGCAGCACACAAACTTGTAGAACTATCTTCATAAGGACTGCCTATAGACATAATGATTTTTATACTGTGCAAACTGTATATTCTATCCCCCAACCCTACCCGTAAACTCAACCCTCGCAGGGAATAATCTGCAATTTTAAAAAGTGCTTTACAAAATACATTATTCTGTGTGATTTATGAACTCTTTTCCTCATGGGAACAAAAAAAGTCCCCACAAAGTAGAAATGTTCTGGTATTGCTATACATGTGGTCACCACAACTTAAGAAATACAAGGCGCATACACACACACACTGGCCACTTTATTAGGAACACCTTGCTTGTACAGCCCTGTGCTGGATCCCATTTTGTCTTCAGAAACCTGTATTTGTGGCACTGATTCCACAAGTTGCTGATTATACAATATGTAATAGACCTTTTGCAGTCCAGTTTTTGTGATCCTGTGTGAATTTGCTATTGTTTGCTATCAAGAGTGTCTTTCTGCTGTTGTAGCTCACCTGCTTCAAGGTTTGATATGTTGTTGTGTGCTCAGAAATGCTTTTCCTCACATGTTGGTTTGTTATTTGTGTTTTCTTGTATCAGCTTGAACCAGTCTGACCTGGCATTTTTGTTCAAAGAGCTGGATAGTTTCCCTTTTTTAAAAAAAAAAAAAAATAGCGTTGAGATGGTTGTGTGTGACAATTCCAATAAATCAACAGTTTCTGAAATGAAATTCGGAGCAGCCAATTTGGCACTAACAACCACGTTCAAATTACTTTTCTTCCTCATTCTGCATGCCTAAATGTGTTGAGTTGCTGCCATGTGATTGGCTAATTAGATATTTGCATTAATTAACAGTTAAAGTAGTGTACGTAATAAAATGTCATTCTCTGTCCAGATAATGAACACAATTTGCCAAGTAGGAGCAGGAGTAGCGGTCTGGTAGGAACAGGGGTCGGCCCTCTCTTAATGGCCCCGATAAACCCTGCCCCTCACATTTATTTAAAGGTAAACGCATTCGAAAGCTATTTATCATATATTTAACCTTTATTCTTGAAAATAAAAGCTGATAATATTGTGTTTACTGTTTGTTTTTCAACTAAACAGTCTAAATAATTGATTAATTTGATTGATTGATTAATAATTTAGGCCGAAATTTTCCTTGTGCATGATGTCTACTTTGTCTCTTTAGCGTTTATGATTGTAATTAATGTTATATCTACTTTTTCTTCCCCTATCTAGGTAGCGGAGGGTGTTCACAACTTAATCCATATACTCTACAGTCTGCAGGTAGTCATCATTAGTTAACTTTTAATAAGTAGTAACAGCTAAATAATTTTTCTGTATAGTGTATTATATAATTTGTGTTATTTTGTAGGCTGCTATAATAATCCAGGACAGCTGCTTTGAAGTTCAAAATCTCCTCCTCCTGGAGGGAGAAGCTCCACCCCCAGGTCTTACCAGTGATTATGATGTCAAAAGGGTGGGTGTGGTAGGTTTTCACAGTGTATGTTTATCTCAGATGTTTATCATACGGGTCCCACTGTATATTAAGTGGCTTTAATTACTATGTACTTGCATCAGAAAATAAATGTGATGTACTCACTGTCTTAATAATGCATTTCAGAACACTTCTGGTTCTCTTGAGGTGGGATAACAGTATGGATAAGGCAAGGTTTGTTGGTATGGGTAGGTTTAAGGGTGTGTAAGGTGTCAGCGATGGTCTACATGTAATTACAGAAAACTATTATAGATGTAATTAGATGCATGTATTTAATCAATCCTAAATACAATGTAAAAACATGTGTGCACCGTAAGTACATTGTAACAAATGATTAATTTCAAAGTAAGTACATATTAGTTAAGACCACTTAATGTAAAGTGGGACTAAGAAATGTTTATTTGATACAAATTTTTTTTTTTGCAATTCTTATTTTTGATTCATTATTGCAGGGACTAAGTTAAAGGAAAATTAGTGATTAAGTATTGAAATATTTGTAATAAATGACAGTATTTTTAAGAAATTACTTACTCCCAGGGCAATTTATATCGAAGTTGATATTTAGTTGCATAATATTGGTGTTTCGTATCATCTAGCTTTTATGAGGTGAGTTGTTATCTTAACACTCAACCCCAAATCTGGAGGAACAGGACATACACACATACACTACGGACAATTTAGCTTACCCAATTCACCTATAGCGTGGGTCTTTGCACTGTGGGCATAACCAGAGCACTCAGAGGAAACCCATACGAACACGGAGAGAACATGCAAACTCCACACAGAAATGCCAACTGACCCAGCCGGGGCTTCTGCTGTGAGGTGACAGCACTACCCTCTGCGCTACCGTGCCACCCCAATAAATGAGTTACTTCTGCATTAATTAGAATTGCTTATTGCTGCAACACCTCACACTGGTTTTAGTTTTTTTTTAAATGGAACCAACCATCAAATATGATCCTCCTTGTTTGAGAGACCTCCATCCTTAAATTGTAAATGGCAACTAGTGTCTTAAAAGTTAATTTTAAAAATGATACTGTGATAATTGTGTTTATATAAAAAATGGTTTGAAACTATTTAGATTCTATTTATTTAAATATATTTGATATTTTATTATTTATTTTATTTTGATTTGTTTGTTTTAATCTAATTTTATTAAATCATATTTTGTATTATTTATCCCAAATATTATCCAGCATGTTTTTGTATTATTTTTTATAATAAACAGAAACCATTTTTTCTTATTTGTTTCTTTTATACTAACATGTGTATTTTCGTTTTCTTTTCAGCTTAGTCCCTTTATTAATCATGGGTCACCACAGTGGAATGAACCGCCAACTTATTCAGCATATGTTTTACACAGCACTGTGCCACCGTGTCGCCCCAACATGTGTATTTTCTCTTTGAAAGTCTTTGATTTAAGTTTTTTTAAGGCCTCACCCCCCTTTTTTTTCACAGACACTATAGTACTCCTTTGCAACATGAAATCCCCTGTACTACACTGTGAACCAACCTATCTCATGAAATTGACCAGTAGCAATGCACAATGATTGAATCAAATTCCCAAGTTCTTTCTTGTTCTTAAAGCCGTTTTACTAAGTTATACAGTTGAAGTCACTGGATTTTTTCTCTTTCATATATTTTTCAAATGATGTTTAACAGAGCAAGGAATTTTCACAGTATTTCCTATAATATTTTTTCTTCTAGAGAAAGTCTTTATTTGTTTAATTTTGGCTAGAATAAAAACAGTTTTTAATTTTTGAAAACCATTTTAAGGTCATTATTATTAGCCCCCTTAAGCAATATTTGTTTTTGATAGTCTACAAAACAAACCATCGTTATACAATAACTTGCCTAATTACCCTAACTTACCTAGTTAAGTCTTTAAATATCCTTTTAAAATTTCTTAAATATATATCTAGTGTCATCATGGCAAAGAAGTTAGTAGAAATTAGTTATTAAAACTATTATGTTTAGAAATGTGTTGAAAATAATCTTTCTATTAAACAAAATATTGGGAGAAAAATATAAAAGAATTAAAAAGGAGGGCTAATAATTCTGACTTCAACTGTAAAGCACGATAAAGAGAAAAAAAATTGCAACTTGCATTTATTACCCACTTTAATATAATTTATACTTCTTGTTCATCCTATTTATCTTCCTTTGCAGCAGAGTTTGGAGTATGGCGTTGGTGGCTGCGGGACTGCGGCCGTGCAACAGAATGAACTGGAGCAGAGAGAGAGAGAGCATACTGAACTAATGGACAGACTGACCAAAGAGAAAGAGCAGTTTGAGGAGGAGCTGCGGCTGTTTGAGGAGGAGATGAAGAAGCTGAGAGAGGAGGAGAAGAGAGTGAAGGAAGAGAGAGAGAGATTAAAGGAGGAGGGCAAGAAAGTGTCGAAAGAGAAGAAGAGTCTGGAGACAAAGATAAGACTCATTCAAAATCCAAATCCTCGTCAAATCATCCTGCCTTGTATCACACCACAGGAGAAATAAACCACATTCATGTATACTGTATTTACAGTGGGCGAAATAGATATTGAACATGTCATGTTTTTCCTGGGAATAATATTTCTAAAGAAGCCGTTGACATGGAATTAAAGCAGATTTTGATAAAAATCCAAACAAATAAAATCTGTAAGATTAGTTAAGTGTAACAATGAAATGACAGAAAGAGGAAGTACTGAACTACTGAGATGTATTTAATACTTTATATAAAAGGTTTTTTTGGTAATGGCAGCTTAAAGACACCTCTTGGAGAATGGAGGAGCATGATTTGCTCAGATGTGAGTTTTTCACAGACCTTAGAGTGTAAAAGTCTTGATGGTTCTGTGGGACTCGTCTATCAAATCTGATCTTTAATTTTTATTGGATTCAAGTCAGGTGATTGGCTGGGCCATTCTACAGCTTGATTTTCTTTCTCTGAGAGCATTTGAGAGTTTTCTTTCTGTGTTTTGGATCATCGTCTTGCTGAAATGTCCACCTTGGTTTCATCTTCATCATCCTGCTAATGTATATGTTGGACTGAAGCAGCTAATATTAATTTACAATGAGGAAGGGCAGAGGGTTGCTGAAGAACTACTGAGAGATTTCAGCTGCTGTCTGAGCTTTCACTGCCTTTCCACACCTCTCTTTTTTCATGTGTTCAGTACATTTTCCCTGCGTCATTTAATTTTATTACACATAGCTTCATTTGTAAACTAATTAATTTTGTTTTCTTTGCATATATTTGGATTTATTTGGATGTTACCAACATCCGAGGAAAATGTCAAGTCAAGAGCACCTTTAGAAATATGTTTTCTGAGGACAAACGGTAATGTGTTCAATATTTATTTCCCCCACTCTGTTTAAAGTGCCCCTATTTTGCTATTTTGAAGGTTTGTATTATTGTTTTGAACGTGACCTGTAGGTTTCTATCCACACAAGTTTAACATGTTATGCATCATCTCTTTTCTGCAAATGACTGAAATGGTTTGTTCAAGGATCCAGTCTCTCTAAACTTTCCATTCTGAGAACCTGCTCTGCTCCGATTGGTCAGATGGACCAGTCTTTTATGATTGGTCTACAGCAGGGGTCACCAAACTTGATCCTGGATGGCTGGTTTTCCGCAGATTTTAGCTCCAACTCTAATCAAACACACCTGAACAAGCTAATCAAGGTCTTACTAGGTATACTAAAAACACCCAGACAGGTGTGTTGAGGCAAGTTGGAGCTTAACCCTGCAGGGCACGGGCCCTCCAGGACTGAGATTGGTGACCCCTGGTCTGCAGTGTGCATCGGACACAAACAGTACTTTCAGCTGCAGAGGCTATACACAGGCTCAACAATGTGAGAATCAGCGCTCAGGAATGGCTTGCAATGTTTAACTTGTACTCGGTATGTTTCAAACCAAATATGCAAATTTAAAACCATCTAATCTTATCTAATTCTTCAAAGACAACAAAAAGTCGCTTCCTGATAAACTGGCACCAAATATCAAAAAAAAAATGGAGTTTGCTGCAGTAGATGAAGCAACTGTAGGCCTATTTTTCTCATGTAATAAATGACTTGTGCTTCAGAAGATGAACGTGCCGTGGCTTTTGGAGGCGTGAGATGCTCTTTGGGAGCTCAGCTGCTCACGATAGTTTTGGGGGGTCATAATAACGAACCGATTTGATGACTAACTTTAGCTAAGTCATTTTAGAATGACGAAAACAACTTTGGTCAGCTGGTTTGTCCATTATTTCTGTTCCATTCATACATTCATTTTATTTATCACATGACCTGTAACTTTTTGATGTGCATTTATTAGATGTGTGCTTCCATCATAGTTTATGCACATTTTTCTTATTGAATGAAGTTAGTCATGCTATTAATGATGAATCTTCCTCATTAGCATAAACAGCCCTGAGTGAGAAGCAGTCATTAGAGTTTTGAAACTGCTGTTATGGTGACACACGCTTTTATAATTCCACCCTCTTTTAAAGAGGCTAGATAATACCTTTTTTTTTATTTTTAGGCGCCTTTCAAAGCACTCAAGGACACTTTACAGCCGATTACAACTACATCATAAAAATACAAGCAGTAAAAATGACAATCAGCATAAAATTAAACCAGCAAATAATTAAAAGCTATCCTAAACAAAAACGTCTTTATCTGAGATTTAAAATTGGAAATAGAGTCCATCTGGCGAATGTGCAAAGGCAGGGAAACAACTAAAAGCCCTGCCTCCAAATGACTTCATCTTAAAGTGTGGGACAGATAACAGTTCAGCAGAAGATGATCTCAGTGAGCGTGAAGGAGTGTACAAATGAAGAAGATCAGAAAGATAGTGAGGGGCCAGGTTATTAAGAGCTTTGTATGTTAAGAGGAGGATTTTGTATTGTATACGATAGTGAACAGGAAGCCAGTGCAGGTGAAAGAGAATTGGAGTTATGTGATCAGAAGTACGCGAACAGGTAACTATCCTAGCCGCTGAATTCTGAATCAACTGTAGTCTATGAAGTTGTTTATCAGGAATACCAGAGAGAAGCGAGTTACAGTAATCAATCCGTGATGTAACCAAAGCATGAACAAGCACTTCAGTACTTTGTTGAGATAGTGAAGGGCGAAGTCTTGCAATGTAACGCAAATGAAAAAAGGCAGAAGGTGAGATATTACTAATTTGAGAACTAAATGAGAGCATGCCATCCAGTATAACCCCAAGACTTTTCACGTGGGTTGAGAAATTGACTGGGGAGTTATCAACAAACAGGGTAAAAGATTGAGCTTTGGATAAAACAGATTTTGAGCCAACCAAAAGGGCTTCGGTTTTCTGGCATTTAACTTTAAGAAATTATTAGTCATCCATGTATTAATCTCATTTAGACATTTGGTAAGGTCAGAAGGGGGGTGTGATGTCGTAGGTTTTGTGGAGATATAAACTTGTGTATCATCTGCATAAAAATGAAAATGTATGCCAAAAGAACGAATATATGACCTAAAGGTAGGATATAAATAATAAATAAAAGTGGCCCCAATACTGACCCTTGAGGAACACCATGAAGGACTGAAACAGGATCGGAGCGTCTATTCTTTACCTGCACAAACTGTTTTCTGTCACTTAAATAGATGTCTGATCTGATGGATGCACAATCTCACTTGAATTTAAAACAACAGTCACCAAAACAGCAGGGGAAAAGTTATAGAAGAGTTATAACAATGATGTGTGTGGTATTTTGGGCAGAAATTTCGCATACACACTCTAGGGACATCAAAAATTATTTATTCATCAGAATTATTATTTATGTATTGCAAAAAGTGGTATAATGAGTCCACTTTAGGTATTTTTAAAATGCGTTATTCCAAAATGCGCATAAAAATAGGTGGATGGAAACATACTGTTCAAGATACTAACTTCAACTTAACATTACCACACTGTCAATTTTTACTTGGATGTGGGACAGCAAATCAGTTTACTATTCCAATACTGTTGCTTCATATTTGTGTGTAAACTCCGGTGTAAGAAGCAAATGAAAAGTGTGTCTCATTCTAGTGTTGTTCTGTTTGTTGATAAATCTTTCACACGTCACACAGTTTGCTTGTTTACTTAAGATGAAAAAAAAAAAAAACACAACGTGAAATATTTAGAAATATCTCAGATTTCTGTCTTTGGAAAGCAATTGCTGTTTAAAGTTGCTGTCAGTTTTAACTGGTTGCAGGCCGGACAGACTGGGGCCGTACGAGTCTTCGCCGCAGCCTGACCACAGCAGAGTCCACACCGGCTGCAGCTCGCTTTCCATACATGTCATCCTCCAGCTGCTGATGAGCGTCCTGCAGCGCTGCAATCTCTTTCCCCGATGATTCCAGATGCTTCCGGAGCATGGTGTCGCCCTGAGAGGACAAGAGACATGTATGTGTTAACAGATCACACATTATAAATTAAAAACAAACAAGCAAACACTTACATTCATAAGTTTGGGGCCAGTAAAATTATTATTATTATTATTATTATTATTATTTTCTTTACAATAAATGAACATTTTTATTAAGATTTAAATTGGACAGTTAAAAAAAAGAAAAATCCAGATTGATTAAAAATTTATACAAATTTAAATATATACAGCTGAAGCCAGATTTATTAGCCCCCCTTTGATTTTTTTTTCTTTTTCAAATATTTCCCAAATTATTTGACTGAGCAAAGAAATGTTCACAGTATGTGATAATATTTTTTCTACTGGAAAAAAGTCGTATTTGTTTTATTTTGGCTAGAATAAAAGCAGTTCTTAGTTTTTTATGGACCATTTTAAGGTCAAAATTATTAACCCCTTTAAGCTACTTTTTTTCGATAGTCTACAGAACAAACATCATCATACAATAACTTGCCTACTTACCCTAACCTGCCTAGTTAACTTAATTAACCTAGTTAAGCCTTTAAATGTCACTTTAGGCTGTATAGAATTTTCTTGAAAAATATCTAGTCAAATATTATTTACTCTCATCATGGCAAAGATAAAATAAATCAGTTATTAAAAGTGAGTTATTAAAACTAATATGTTTAGAAATGTGTTGAAAAAATCTCTTCGTTAAACATAAATTGTGGAAAAAAATAAATAGGGCTAATAGTTCTGGGGGCTAATAATTTTGACTTCAACTATATATGTGCGTATACTGTATGTGTGTACAACCAAAAAATGAAATGTAGGCTTTTTCACTTCTTTGAAAATATTAAATCTTACTGACCTCAAACATTTGAATTATAGTGTATATTTTGATACCTTTATTTGTATCTTTACATTTCAAAATCTTAATGATTTACATTTGTCATAAACACTACCATGTTCTGAATGTCAGATCACATCCAGTTTTCTACAGAGCCCCTAAAGGGACATGGTAGTGGAAAAAAATACAGGATATCAAATTTTTTGCGTTATCCTGGGAAACATTGTGTTTGCTCACAAAACCTTTGTTCAGACAAACGCTTTCTGTTCACTTTATGTGAGTTGGGACAGCTCCGCACATTTACTATAAAATGGTTCATGGAGTTTTCTAATGCATTAAGATGATTGCCAATTAAAAA